CTTGTTTATCTCTACACCGACTGGAGCAGTAAACAATCCATCGAGAACTCTACTGCAGTTTGAGGCAACGATTGATGTGGGCACGCCACTGGCATAAACATTTCCCTTACCCTTCCTTCTGATACCAATCCAAACAAATCCAACGAAACGCTGGAGCAATGGGTTGCTGTGGCATTGACTCTTGCGGCAGAGTCTTGGATGGGGCGGGAACGTAGACTGGCGCTGAGATTTGTTTATTATCCATTTGCATTTTCAAGTTTGAACTAAAATGTAAACTATTCCCGAACAACATGCACACATCGCTCACTGAACCCTTGTCCATCTTTCCCTAGAGCAAAAGGTATCTATAAATAGAGATCCATCGGTGGAGAAGAACAATAAGTACGACGCTGTTAAGGCCACTGAGGCCACCACCTCCAACTCGTTGAACGCCTCTGCACCACCATTGTTGCCCATCCACCCATCCAGAATTTCTCTCTCTCTTTGGCTTTTCTGTGTACATTAAGAGGACTTTGAACTTTCCTCCCATTGGCAATGAATGGACGGACACACGGACAGACACAGAGGCCATGGCATGCCGTGTGCGCCTCGCTGGCAATGGAAAATAACATACGAAATGGATTTCCTTTTGGCATTGCCTGGGTCAGTGTATGTGTGGGGTGGGATGTGTGGGATGATTCACAACACTCAATCGGAGTGCTAAGAAGTACTTTTGGGGATCGATCCGTGCCCCCCGTGCGTACTTCCTGCTCGTGTCATCTGCGATTACCAATCTGTGATCTGCAATCGCGCTGCACGGTGTCCCAGGGAATTATTAATTAACGGCCTGTCACAGAACATACATGCGACATTTCGTTTGCCTTAAACATCAACGATTCTGACATCGAAAATATGGCACAGACCCCACAACAGATCGCAAGGAGAGACCAGCAGCAAGCACTTGTCAGCTGTTCCTTGGGCAATTTCTTTCTTATTCGAGGAATGTTCACGAACGTAGACAATATGTAAAAGTTTTTGCCATGAGCACAGAGCACACCGTTGGCTGATGGAAAATGACGTGATTAGGTAGAAAATTCGACTTTATGTATGAAAATATATAGAAGAGAGAGAGAGAGAGAAGTGTCCGTGGCAGGCAACCACCTGGGCAGAGTGTGGATGAGGAATATTATTAATAAATGGGCCGCAAATTGCCAAGACACAACTTATGGGATGTTGTCTGTCTGTCTGGCACAGCCCACGCACAACACAACACAACACAGCACAGCAGGGGGGCTGGGAGCACATTGAAGGGGTTTTCCATGGAAAAGAGCAAAAGAATTTTCTGTTTAATTGCCGCTCAACATTTTGATGTACTTCGCGGCAAAAAAAAGAAGAACACGAGAGAATTGGCAGCTAAGAATGCTCAACAGGTTGCAAGAGGCTGACAGGCAGGCAGATGTTTAGCCAAAGAATCACCCACACCCACGGCCTGGTGGCCGCCCCAGACGTGCGCTCTATAGAAATAGCAAACAAAACTGAACTGAACCCCAAAAACCGCCCAAGACAGCAGCCCGCATTATTGCACATGACCTCGTCTTCAGTGCTCATTGAATGGGATCGATTATTTAGACAATTTGTAGTCGTGGCTGTGGCTGTGGCTGCGGCTCTGTGGAGAAAAACTTTCGCCATGGATAAACAAATGATCAAGTGCGATGCGATGGGATGGGATGGGATATAAACACAATAATTTTGATGGCTTTTCCACGCAAAACAATATTTGTGGCGCAGATCTGTGTATCTGTATCTGGGTTATGACTACAGTGAACACTCTCCGCTGTGATGGCGTGTATCCCCCACCTGACTCTGACGCTGTGTTGCGCCAATTACGTGCGAGATTAATCAATGCCACGACAACATGAACAAATTAAGCGCATTCATTTCGACGTAAATTTATATCACATGCGAGTAGAAGAAACCCTCCTTCCCATTCCCCCACGTATGTAAGTATGAAATATACAGAACTAGAGAACCCATAGAACAGCCAACAAGTGCCAGCAGAATGCAATGCCGGCGATGTTCTCTGACGTTAATCATACGCCCCGTGTGCTGCAATTCCCCATTCCTGCAATCCCATGTTGATGATGATGATGCAGACGACTTTGGCTCATCGCATCGTGGCCGTGTGGCCTCTCGCTCCACGTCCTTAATTATAAATTGATGAATCTTCAAATAAACAAACAAGAATTATGGCGCTTACCGGCACAGAGACAGAGCAGAGAGAAGAGAGATAGATCTATGGCCCAAGGGGTTTCTGATAGAGCAGAGTGATGGATGTGCTCTGTGGATGCTACATATTTATAGCACAGATACATCCACATACCTGTGAATATATCTAGCACTCAGTCGCGTTGGTTTGTCGCTAGTCAATTGGGTGGGAATTACGCATGTTTTGTCCATTTCATCATAGAAATTCCCACCTTTTTGCTTTGCAGACAGCATTTCAGCATCATGACGAAGGACCAGCAGGCCACGCCCATACCCGAGGAGCTGTACAATCTCACACAGCTGGCGGAGGTGACACTGGCAGCGGGTCCATTGAACACGGAGGTGGAGTCGGAGGTGAAGCCACACTTTTATGCCTGTTCGTCGGACGACGATTCCAACTACTACAGCCACAAGGTGTTTGATCGCAGGAAATCGCGACGCTGCACCATCTCCGACTCGAACTCCTGCACGAGCAGCAGCAGCAGCAACGGCAGCCATCAATCGGGAGAGCCACAGGAGCAACACGATCATCAAGAGCAGGCCAGCGAGGACGAGCACATTTGTCCGGAGTGCGGCAAAAAGTATTCCACATCCTCGAATCTGGCACGCCATAGACAAACCCACAGGTAAGAGAGAGAGTGCTAGAAGCATCCCCCCAAAGGAGCTCCCTAGAGTAATCTGTTACTCCCTTTTCGTAGGTCAAAAACGGACAAGAAGGCACGCCATTGCCCCTACTGCGAGAAGGTGTACGTGTCGATGCCCGCCTACTCGATGCATGTGCGCACCCACAACCAGGGCTGCGAGTGCCATACATGCGGCAAGCGGTTCTCCCGCCCCTGGCTGCTGCAGGGCCACATTCGCACCCACACCGGCGAGAAGCCCTTCAAGTGCAGCGTCTGCAGCAAGGCCTTTGCGGACAAGTCCAATCTGCGCGCCCACATTCAGACGCACTCGAACACCAAGCCGCACTCGTGTGCCCGCTGCGGCAAGGCCTTTGCCCTCAAGTCGTATCTGTACAAGCACGAGGAGTCCTCCTGCATGAAGAACCGCAGCAGCAGTGGCACCGGGCGACCCCCTGCATCGCCCAAGCGGCAGCAGGAGGGCGGCTCCAGCTGCGGCTCCAGTTCGGGTTCGATTTCGGGCTCTCCCTCGACGGTGACTGTCCCCCCGGTGGACTCCGCAAAGTCCACGCTGGCCAACAAGCTGCTGCAGAAGGAGAAGGAGCGACGACAGGCCCAAGCACTGGCATATCAGAGCTCTACTGCCGTCTATCCCCTGGAGGATTACGAACACTTCAAACGGATCAACGTGATCCAGCCGACGGCACTGCCTCATCCGAGTGTGCTCTACCAAGAGTTGCATACGCGGCCCCTGGTGCTGCCCCTGTCTCTGCCCTACCACTATCCTCACGCACCCAATCCACCGAACCCATCCACCGAGGGCACTCCCAGCACTGGGCCACAGGAGCAGCCGGTGGACTTTTCGCCAAAGAACAATTTTACGCACTCGGCCAAGACGAGTCCCTTTGAGCTGACGGGCAACTATGCGATGGTGGCATAGTACTCAGGAATCAAACAAACACAAACACAAACACAAAATATATCCACGAAAAAGACACCAAAGAGAGAAGCAGAGAACTTGAAGGAGAATCAAGGATCAAGCCCACACGCCCACAAGCCCCAACCCACGTCCAAGGCCATTTTCTTACTGTAGTCAACGAATATGTGATAAAAACCAAACAAAAACAAAAAACAAAATATGCAAAAGAGCTAAAATACCATTTAGATAGAGAGTAGATAAATTCCAAAGAGAGAGCACTAGCTGATCCACACAGACAGATCACTCCAAAGAGATGAAAGAGAACGCGGAAGAGTAGCAGAGATGGAAGTTATACACAAAATATATATCCATAGATATCTACATAGAGACAGGGATCGATACGTTGGCAACTGTAAGGCCGCGATCGTTTGATCTTCACTTAGTTGTAATGAGACTTTCTTTAGAGACTTGCCAAAGAACAACGACAAAAAACCAATGTAAACCAGTATTTTTTTGATAGCACATACAAATAACGATCAGCATACATAAATATATGTAGATCCAGCAATCCGTGCACCTGCGATCGTTGACACCCCCCCACAAGCAGCAAAGCTAATTTTACACACAAATTTCTTAACTTACTTGTACCCATAGAATTATGATTTTACACATGAAAAGTATACACATAGTTAACCTTATTAATCATAAATAGTTTCGCTTTAAGGCATTGAGGATTTGGCTTCCTGCTTCCCGCACGGAAGTCCAACCAAAACGAGAGATATCTAGTCTTTATCTTAAAATTCAGCGCACATCTTGTGGATCTATTCCTCATGTGTGTGCACCACTTTATTTTAAGCACTCTTGATGGCCGCATGTGGTGCAATAATTGACATAACTATAACACTAATTAGCCCCTGGACACACACACACACACCTCTAGCCTACACATTTAGACATACATTTTATGGCTTATTATTTTGTAGCATTTTAGCTAGTTACGTTATCATCGAGCACATTTAGAGGGGAAACACGAGAAGCACACTGCATTTTCTATACTCAACCAACGACTCGAACCTACAGCTAATCGCACCAAAGATACATACATATATACACATACCTATCTACTATATAGAATGCATATATACTCGTACTTAACATACACATATACACCCTATTCTATATCGCATATACACGTATATCTAGATCTTACAATTGTATTATAGAACTTGCACATTTATTCGAATTAAACGAGAGATCCAACGATCCCTGTGAAATGAACACACAAATGATTTTGATTGATTTTGAACGAAAGAACTGGAAAATTTTGAGTGCCGATGATGAGTACGTGGATGATCGTGAGTATCAAGTGTTTTGTATAGGCTACCAAACCCCAGTGTTAACAATTCTGAATACTTTAGTGGACAGCGGATTGAAATGCTAATTGCTACTTTGCTACTCTTATGAGCGATTTCTGGTTCCTATGGAGTGTTGATTGTTGTTGGAGTGTTGCAACCGCGCAATTAAAAGCGTGTACAGTGTGATCCCTTGCATCAAGTGAATGTGTGTTAAGCCAACCAACCATAGCCCCTAGTGTTTGTGTGGCAATTGTGTGTGTAATTGTTAGATCTCATTCAAAAGGGATGTGGTGGTGTCCAAAACGTTGGAACTCTGATTGATATCGCCCACACCATCAACGTGTTGCTGGTTGATGCCGCAGCGCACCACGAGATCCTCGTATTTCTTGCCGTGTAGGAAACAGACCAGAATGGCTGTCATGTTGTCGCTTCCAAGGCCAGTGACCTTGGAGTCGGTTGCCAGGCAGCTGTTCAACAGCTCCTCGCAAATGCAGTCCGGGGACAGGCCCGAGGCGATGCGCTTGCGCACAAAGTCGGCCACCTTCTGATTGGACATCACATCCCAGATGCCATCGCAGGCGAGGACCACAAACTCCCAGTCCTCGGTGATGTCGGCCACCTCTACGTCCGGATAGGCGGTGACGATCTGCTCCTCTGGGCGCATGTACATGTTCCGCTTGTACATAAAGTCGCCGAGGGCCCGCGAGAGGGCCAGGCTGCCGTTGACGCGATTGAGTTCGACGTAGCCGCCACCGGCCACGATGCGGCTGCTCTCTGCCTCGTCCTGGGGCTTGTGGTCCATGGACAGGGCACGCACCTTGCCCCCAATGCAGGCAATGGCCCGAGAGTCGCCAGCATTGGCACAGTACAGACGCTGCTCCTTGATCAGCACCACAACGGCAGTGGAGCCGGCAGTCTTCTGTTGCCAGGATCCATTCTGCTCTATCTCCTTATCAAAATCGAGGAAGCCACGCTTCAGAGCCACCTCCACGTTGTTGTCAGAGTACTCCAGACGCTTCGTTATGAAGTGATGCAGATGCTGGCCCGCAAATTTGGCCACCGCAGCGCCACCATGTCCATCGTAGACACCGAAGAAGGCTGCAGTGGGATCCTCTGGCAGCGACAGGATGTGCGTGTGGGCATCCTCCATTTCACAGCGCCAGCCCTGCATGCTGCTGGAGCCCACGCGAAAGGCACTGTTCTCACATTCGGCCGTGTTCTTGGTGGTCACCGGCTCCGATAGTGACTGCCCCATGATGTACTTAAGGAAGGGACAAGAAGCCATAACACAAGTCTGACTATCTTTTCGGTCTCTGGACTACACTCAATTAAATACTCACTCGATGCTCTCCTTAGTCCAGATGCGTTCCTGATTGTTAACCGAACCGCTGATTGTTTCCCGGTGTAATAGAAATTTTGTACTTTGTTTTTTACAACTATTCAGCCAGCCAGGACACAACTGATACTTTTTGGGACTACTACACTGATGGAGTGTATTTGTATGATTATATATTTGTATATTTGATTTGTATGTGTATGAGTCTATTTCATTAAACAGACTGCATCGACAGGGCATACTTTTCAAGAGGGAAACAAAACTTCTGTCTATTATATTCTGTCATATTTGTTGAATGTTTCCAAGAGAATAGCCTACTATGGACCGACAGCTTATATTTTATTGCAAGCCTTTTTCATGCTTATTAAGAAAAATAACTTGGAGACTTACCTTGGCAGAGTCTGAGATGGACAGCAAGGATTGAACTCCTGATAATGAAAATAGGCTTTCAATTTAAGTACAAAATTAAATAAGAATAAATAAATCAAATATTAAACTAAATAAATACTTATAAATAAATAATTCTGTTCAATGCAAAAATATCAAATATCAATGGAGAACCTTCTATATTTGAGGAATTTAATGTGTAAGCTTGTCACCTGTTCTTCCCTTTCTTTATCCCATTGCTTAAATCCCTTACATAAAAAACACTTTTCTGCATTTTCTTTTGATAATTTTGTGTTTTGTATTTGTTTTGTTATTTCTTTGGTTTTTTTTTTTGCTTTTTTCTTTTTCTTATTCTTTTTTCAAGTATTATTTTGTTATATACTTTTTTTCTTCAATTTTTGATAGCATCTGTTGCCGTATACACACAAATACATCAATATATGGTATATGTATATATATTTTGTTGGCACACGACACATCGTGCATTCTCCATTTCATATATAGACATTGATTTGTAATTGTTTTTAATTTGTTGCATTTGCATTTGCTGTTTGTTTGCTGTTGCTGGTTGCTGGTTGCACGTTGCTGCTGTAGATTACTACACGTTGTTTATCCTTTTAGGCATATGTACGAGAGTATGTTACGTTAGTTATCATAATCATAATTTGTTGTACGGCGCTGACTATGCAACCGTAACTATGTTTTGCTTGTCGGCGTGTATATGAGTATAAGTGTATCTGTGTCTCCCGCTAGTGTAACTATATCTGTGTATGGGTGTGTGTGTGTGTGTGTTTTCTACATTCACAATTAATCTTAATTAAGTAATCCATTTTGCTGGTTGTATATATTTTCTCTTTAAAGTGTAAAGACACTAAATTTCACAATGTTCGATTTGTTTTTTTTTTCTTTCTCTATTTCGCTACAAAGAGACAAGAGGCCCCCTCCCACAGAAAACCCCCCGTTTGTGTGTGTGTGTGTGTGTGTGTGTGTCTAATTTTTGGGGAGGGGAGGAGGGATATTTCCAAGCCCAGAACTAGCCGAAAATCATTTGGAGGGGGACATTCAAAGTCCACCCATTCCCCCATGGGGAGCAAAAGTTTTTGGTTAGTTTTTGTATCTTGTATTTTCTATGTGTTTGTGTTTTGTGTCTATGAGTATGTAAATAATTTACGAAAATGTCTGGTTTATACTATATATATATCGTATGTATACATATAGAATATCTATATAGATATAGACGTATTATAAAATCTCTAAACAGCCATAAAAGTCAAAAGTTCTTATCATAGTTATCTATTATCAATTATCTAGACTCGTCATTACACACACTTTCACTTCCACCAAGTTCTGTTTAACTCGAGGATCCTTAAATCTGAATTGGGAGTTTATTATCTCTATGTTTGAAATCGGAACTCGATTGTTATAAGTTTTAGCCGTTGGTTAGGGAGGGAGTAGGGAACTATACATAAATACAAATTGCTGTGTCCTGCGATTTTTGGTTTTTCTTTGGTCTCGATACAATATTCATTCCCCCACGGTTACTTCTTTGTATTCGATCAATTAGCAGGCGGCCTTCTCTGCTCCAAAGGTACGCATATCTGATTACGATACAGACACATATACACATTTATATATATTCGTGTTTGTGTATATACTTTTTGATTGCATAAAACTAAACGCTAATATCGATATCCTTATCAATTACAATGCTAAATGTATCGGTGTGCTTGGTTTTTGATATAAGTTTTTGAATTTCATGTTCATTTCCGTTTTCGTTTCCATTTCCCTTATGCCTAAAAACGAAATGGACACCAAGTAAAAAACATTCAGTACATATTCATAGAGATACGATTAGAATACGAGAACCGTCGATTAAAATACGATTAGAGTTGTGAATCGAGTTGTGTTGTGGATTGTGGCTGAATATTTGCTGAGTAGTTGGTGATTTCTGGTTGGTGTATCGTTGATAAGGTGTTGGTGAACATATTTTGAATGGATTTTCCAATTTATTTGGATGAATATGACTTGGTGCCCATGAAAAAAGGAAATTCTATCTACTATTCATACTATCCATGAATGAGTGAGTGTTCTTTGTGTGTGCGATCTTTGATTACCGGTCTTTGGTTTACTTTCAAATGCAAATCCATTGCCGCTGCCTGCCCCTCTACTCGCTCTATGTTGTGGTATGCTAGGACATATCCCATTTATGAGTAGAGATTTACTACCTCTAATCGATTTCGTATATAAAAATAATTAAATTCTTTAATCTGAAACTGCGCAAACGCAACATCTACACTATGTATCGGTTGTGTTGTAGCAAATCCCATAAAAGTGCTCCCATTCTGCTTCACATTCTCTGATCAATCTATTAAAACATACATTCATATATTGTATCGATTTCGTTTACGTTTTGCATCACCTACAATGAAATATATCCAATACATGTTTTTGCATTCGCTATATCTTTTCTAGATTTCTGCCATTTTCTGTTTGGTTTCGAAATCAGCAAAAGGTACAAACATCATTTTAAATTCAATATCTTTACCATTTAGCCATAGTACTCGTATGTATTTATGTATGTAAATGTGTGTATATATGCTTGTTGTATATGTCCATCTATGAGTATGATCTCAGCTCTAGCTGCTAGTTATCATATATCCGTGTATACATGTATATATAACGTATGTATGTATATTGTTTGTTTTTCTTGTTTTTAGGTAGGAAATATGCTAGTCTTATAAATTTCACACATCAACATTTTTCGGTTATCTTTCCTCCCTTTCGATTTGTTAGGAAATAATTTTCGTATTTAATAAAATATATATATTTATTGTATATATATCCATAGATTTATCCATTTTGTAATATGTGTACGTGTGTATTTTTTCGAGTGACTTTTGTTGTTGTTTATTGAAAACATCTATTTAATTTCAATCCGAACCACAAAAATTGTTAAGAGAGTTTTCTGGAGAAAGTTCTTCAAGTGAAGGAAACACGAAGATTATATCATATCCATCTATATATGTTCGTTTTACTGGTAGATTAAACCTAATTACGAAGCTTACGTTAACTTTAAAGCATTATGCTATGAGGAGAAGGGCTCCCCGCTATTCGATTCTGCTGCTGTCCAGTCCAGACTCAGCGCTTTAACGAAATGAAATCTAATTATGGACGGGTTATTATCAATCTTGTTTGTCAAAAAACATCGTCGTACTCCAGCTATTCGTAGATATCTGATAATCTATCTGCTCTTTGATTTCCAGTTCGGGTGCTTTGTTTGGCTAACTTTAAGTTTACTTTTTACTGATTCCATTTGGTTGTGTGTTTTGGTAAATGCAAAAGAACCAAAAATACGATTATTTATACTTTCCAATAAAAGCTCATCAATTGTTGGTCAATCAAGCAACATCGTGGGGCCTTTTTGGGGTTGTCGTTCTTCGGGGGGAGGTGTTCTGTTTGTGGGCGAAATCAATCTATCAAATCTGCAGAAACCTGGTTGGTCTTTCAACTAAATCCTAAATCAGCTGAAGCTTTTACACTAAAACTAAACCTAAACCTAAATTGTTTGCACAATTGCTTTGTTTTTGTTGTTTGAAGCTTTTCTGCTATCGATAGTATTGCACAATATTATGATTAATTATTATTAAGTTTTGTTTTAGCTAAACATTAAGATTTTTACTCCATTTGTAATTTGGTGGGATATATGTTGTATTTGTTGTTCTTCAATCATCATCATCATAATTCTGGTGTCCTTCAAACAAAATGGCATGAAAAACAAAGCATAAAAGTCGATAAAAAAATAAATAAAACCAAAAACAGGGACTCATCATAATTGCGTTATGAATATCGGTTTATATATGTATTTTGTGGTAGGACATAAGTAAGTGGTAAGCATATATATATTTAGGGTATATATAATTCTGGTAATAGTAGGTAAATATTTATATATTCATATGGGTTTATGTTCCATTATGCATTATATATGTAATGTCTGAGTGGACCATTGCGGACCACCAAAAACATTAGGCAAAGGAAACGACACACAAAAAAAGTACAAGTAAGGGGTAAAGGTAAATGGTAAAAGTTAAAGTAAATTGTAATTCTAAAATGTTAAAATAGTCAGATAAAGGCAACTCATCCTATCAATGCAGATTATGATTATAAACACAAGTACATAAGAAATATTGTAGTAAACACCATTAAGCATTAGCTTTAGCTTTAAATATTTATATATATGTATATATCATATTCATATTCATATTCATATTCATATTCATATTCATATCGTATTCGTATTGTTATAGTTACACATCTTTTTTTCTACTGCTATCTCTTCATGCTGTTTGTTTTCATTTATTTTGTTTCTGTTTGCTGGAAATCGAGAGGACGACGAGTACAAATATTAAGGCTACACGTTAAAACATTTTCGCATTTTCGCACTTCTATATATTATACGTATATTAAGAGTGTTAAGATTTAGAGTGTTTCCTGGATGTGGATATCCGTTCTCTTACTATATTCCTATATCGTTTGCTTGCTTACATGTACAATTTCTCTTACAGTGTGCCACAAAAGTATGCAGCTGTCTCGTGTGGAGAGTGTGAGTTAATTTTTTTTGTTAAATATAATTTAAATTTTGTTTCTTTTCTTTTAAATATAAATTGAATTTTGTTTTCGGTAATTATAAATGTTATTTTGTTATAAATTTAATTTGTTTTGTTTGTTTGTTGGTTTGTAAGTCTATTAACGTTTCGTTTTTGTTACATTTAAAGCGTTCTTGATTTGTTTTTTCTTAATTTTCGTTTATTTCGTTTTTCATTTTTTTGTTGCTGCTCCTAAAACATTTAGTAGAAAGTGAAAAATTGTTCCGTTACAGATACGGATACATTAGTTAATTGTAAGATATACACACACATTTAATATGAACAATATATGAACGTTTCACACACACCGACAGGAAATAAGTGCAGGACGAAACACACACAGAAACGACAAGAAAACCTTTTCGGTTTCCCTCTCTACGAACGAGGGCGGGGAATACAGCACAAGTGTTTAATGTTTATTATTCCTATTTTGTTGTTAACATACATATTTATATTTATAGTTTGAATGGTCCATAAAATTTCTATAAAAAAAGAACTCATCCTATCCCAAATCCATCTATATATCTCCATCTATGTGAATTATTCGCTTTCTGATCTTCGTTTTACAATTCAAGTAATTTTTAATTGGTTTTTGCTTGTTGTTTTCTTCTCGTTTTATTGTTTATGACAATCGTTAGCTGCTTGTTTATTGCCGTTTATTGTTTTTATACACAAAATATATATGTATGCATTGTATATACCACATCTAGATCTATGTATAGTACTTATATATTGTATGTACTCGTATATATTCACAACACTAACGTTTTCTTAATTATCGCCCCCTACACACAATGCTAATTACTCGTAAATGTTCCTCCTTCTTTCGTTTAATTATAAACTACAAAAAGTTCATCTCTCTGTTTTGTTTTATTGTTAAAAAGTTGGTTTAAAAAACGATTGGTTTATTTGTTTTGTTGTTCTTTTGTTAACGCTATTGAATCCTGCACTGCACACTAATTAGTTAACATATATATTGATGCATATAGCTGTAGATATCCGTTTATCCATTTATCCATTTATCCATTACGTTGGTTGTATTCATAATTTGTTGTTTAATTCTAGACAATGACGACGACTGGCAAAACGCTCCTTTTCTCGCTTCTATATCTCTTCTACTATATCGTTATCTTTTTCTTTATCAATTTCTTTGCTTTTTGTTAAAAACTACATCACAATAATTATATGCTAGATCCTATCAAATGGAGTTTTACCACTCTCCTTTTTTCTAACCCTCTCTAATCCCGAAAATGGTGCTGATTGATGGGTAGAAGGGTGGTTGGTTTTCAAAGGGGGGGGCTTAGGGGGATGCGGTTAACTGTATCTTTTGTAACTGTATCTTCTGTATGGTTATATAGGAAGTGCCCACCCTCTCTAAGGGATAGAAAAAAAAGGAGTTTGCATGCACAACGACATGTTTAGGTTTAAGTTTAGGTCTAGCTACAAAATACTTTAGGAAACCTATTTAACAAGATTTTTTAAGTGTACAATAGTTGTTTATATGTCTATATAGTATATAGGATTTAGTGGGTGTAAGTGTGTAAAGTAAGCCAGGTTTTGTACATATCAAAATTGCGTGCTATATTTACACAAAGTTGCCCCAATCATACGGTTGATCCTCTGCCTTTTTTTGCGATACTGAAACCCAGCTTTAATTTAAGGTTTCAGATTTTAAGTTAACCAAAAATTTAAGTTTTAAAAGAACAAATTATAAAGCTTAAAAATGTTAATTGATTATTGCTAGATTGCTTGTTGTTTTTTTTTTTAGTTTTTGTACTTTAGTAAAATTTTATCCCATCAGTTTTTCCACTACATCATTTAATTTTAGGTATTTTCTTGTGGCGTGTGGGTGGGGATGAAGGGTAAGTGCTAAGAAAACATAGTTAAAAGAGGAAAGAAAGTCTTCTTCAGTTGCCGAAGCAATGGATACCCTTTCAGCTGGATAACTCAGAAATCCTAAAGTCAAACCAACCGAGGGACGCTTCCACCTGAAGCGCGACTTTACTTTAAGGGGATTGCAGCTGTTTCTTGTCTCTGGTTTCCCAACAATATTTCCGCTTCTCTGCACAGAGCATACAAAAATGATTAAAAATTATATAGAAGGACTTTTAAAAACTATTAAGGGTTCTCTACATACAATCCAAACAAAGACTGGCTAAAAGCGCGTTCTAATGCGTCTGATGTGCTCAGTTCTTAAAATGTACAAAAAACTCTCCAATCCAGTTTCTAGTTACAAGATACTTTCCTCCTTTCGTATTTATATATCGATATATATATATATATATATATAAGTATGTACAATTTTTCCTATAATTATTTGTGGGCTTTAACTTAATTTAGAATCGTTTTTTCGTAATCGTATTTTGTATTTTGTATTTTGTTTTGCATATTTGTTGCGGTTATTTCTATGAGTGTGTTTACGAGTGTGTGTATAAAAAAACTGTTGCATTCATTGCCAACCCTCCTATTCCTACTCCTATCCGTTTATTTCTATCAGCTATTTCCTATACATATATATTATTAGGTTTATCTTCGAACTCTTCGATTCCTAGGGTCTATTTAGTTATTCTTGCTTTGCTTTGTTGTTTGCTAGTAAGGTTTTTGCGGTATTTTTTAATTTGTTACTCTACAATTGTTTACGATTTCTATTTTTGCTTCGTTCTTGTTGCTTGTTTGTGTAAAGGCAAATTGCATTAACAATATATTGTTGTTTGTTGTTGGTGTTACCGTTGCATTAGTGGCTGTTGTTGCTTTTTGTTGCATTTTGTTTGCTGCTCATTACTTCTTTTTTTTTTTGCTCGTATTCGTATTTCGTGGTTTTTGAGGTACTTTCTAAGAGTCTAAGGAATTTCTAAGCTTTTTGTGGTTTGTTAGTGTGTCGCTGGCGTGCCATTAAATTGTTGTTGATATTTTAGTATTCATAATTATAGTATTACATATGCATATGTATGTATATAATAGTGTGTATCATATATGTAGAGAATATTTTGATGTACAACACACATAGAGAATGAAACGCTTTCGTTTTTTGTAGAAGAGTGGGGAAAAAACAATTATCTGAATATACAGATACAACTACACACGCACATATCATGTATATATCATGTTTATATATATATATAGAATACAGTTGTTGTATTTATATATATAGTGAGAGAAGAAGGAAGTGAAGAAGCTCTATGGGCTCTAATGCATGTCTTACACTTGCGAGCGTGTAAGAATGCTTCGCTTTTACATTTACAATTATTTAATATTATAAAACATAATAAAACTGAATAATCGTAAAGGGTAACCCTCCTCCAAATCGAAACAAATATCTCTTTTATGTTCAAAGATAACGAAAGAACTGGCGACGAGGCGATGATCTATCTGTCTCAATGCTTGCGGCGTGCTCTTCGGCAAAATATGTTCAAGGCCGCTGAAGATGTTGATGCTGTTGTGGCGGAAACAGTTGCAGTTGCTGCTGCTGCTACTCCTGCTTCTGATGATGTTGTGGTTGTTGCAACTGAAGATGTAACCGATGCTGCCGCTGATGTCTCTCCTGATGTGATGGACTCCTCGCTATCCGCCTGCAGCATATTGGTGTTGTGTTGTATAATCGTCTGTTGCATCAGCAGCATAAACCACCAGCATTGTGTCAGCTGTAGCTGCTGTTGTTGCTGCTGCTGCTGCTCTAACTCTTGGCGTTGCTCATCCTCTCCTTCCTCAACCGAGGCCATAAACGATCTGCGAATTAATAAGGATACAAAATTGAATCAATAAATCCCTTCCATGGTGTTCCGACAATCTCAATGGTTTAAACGCCTTTTAATTGTGACGGCATTTTCGACTCACTCGAACGCTGAATCATTTCAAATGAGTGTCTTGAGCTCTCAAGATCTCAGATCATGATTGGTGGTGTATGCAGTTTGCTGTTTGTTGTTTGCTGGTGTCACTTCTCATCTCATCTCATCTCCCTCTCGTCTCGTCTCGCCTAACCCTCTGTTCGTTCGTGTCACCCACTTTCGTGGCTCCCTACTCAGCCCCATACCATATGTTGGTGGGCGCAAAGTGCGCCGCATGCTTGCCGGCGGCAGCTACCTGTGCAGGACTGAGTGGTCCAAATTGGCTGTACTGCGTGGGTATCTGGATGTGCGCTGGCAACGGATGCGATGGTATCACCTAAGCAAGATCGACAGGATGATAGATCGAAAGAAACTTCAACAATTTTTCTGTCACTCACCTGACGACTGCTGCTGTTGTGTGCCGGTGGTGGTGCCACCACTGCTCTGTTGGCGTACGCATAACTGGGCGCCGCTTGGGATACAAACACCGTGGTGGGACGGCGATAAATGTCGCCCTGTGCATAGATGTCTGTCTGCAGCATGGCCGCCGCTGCCGTGGACGAAGGCGAGCCGCCCAGCGGTGTGCCAGCCTGATGATGATGATGGCTATGGCTGCTGTGATGGTGATGCGGCGCAGCTGGCGGCTGGGAGGCCACACTGCCAGGCGGCGGCTGCGATGGCTGGCGGTAGACCTGAGGTGCACCCCAGGAGAGTGGTCCCACAGCGGCTGCCGCCGCGGCAGCTGCAGCACTAATCGATGACGAAGACGACGAAGAACTGCTCTTCGAGTGTGCCAGCGGTGGCGCCACAGCGGGTGCCACATAGCTAATGGGCGCAGCCGAGGGCGCCTCTCGCTTGGGATGTGCCAGCGGCGGTGCAGCCGAGGAGGATGTGGGTGCCCACGAGGAGCGTTTCGTGTCCAACTGCTGCTGCTGCTGTGGTGCATATTCCGGGTAGAATTCTGCCGGTTCCTGCTTTGGAGGAATATGCGGCAGACTGGCAGATGGCTGAGGCTGCTGCACATGCTGCTGCTGCTGTTGCTGCTGCTGCGGCTGGTAGTTGCATTCGCTTTGAGCCATCGCTAGGATGCGCTTCTTCTGCGATTGTCCTGGCTCGTACTTGATGCTGGGCTGCGGCTGTTGTTGCACTTGCTGCTGCTGTTGCGGTTGTTGCTGCTGCTGCTGCGGCTGGTAGTGTGGCTGTTGCTGCTGCTGTTGCTGTTGCGGTTGCATGGACGATGCATGCTGCTGGTGATGATGATGCTTGGGGCTTCCTGCGGCAATGGCTGCCGCTGCTGCTGCGTGGTGGCGTCGACGTGCATCATCCGGATCGTGTTCACCTACGGTTACGCATGGAATTACTAGCTGGACGTGCGATGACTTATGGCTGCGACTGAGATGCTGAGGCTGAGACGTAGAGACGGATAGGGGTAGGGGTAGAGGTAGGGGCACGGATAAGGGGACGGGGACGGGGACAGGGCCAAGGAGAGCAGAGGCAGAGGCAGAGGCAGAAGAGGATTGGGAGGAAGCAGCAGAGGATGATTGGGACTGGGACTGGGATTGGGATTGACTATGATGGCTATGATGATGATGGTGGTGATGGTGGTGCAGATGCTGCGGCTGTGGCTGTGGCTGCTGCTGCTGTAGCGATGGCTGATGATTGGAAGTGGAAGCAGAAGTGGAGGAGGATGATGTCGATGATTGATAATGTGAATGCGGCTGCGGCGGCTGCTGCTGCTGCTGCGGCTGATGCTGTTGCAGAGTCAAAGGAGCTGGTTGCATAGTCAAAGGAGCTTGTTGCAGCGTCAAAGGAGCTTGTGGCAGTGTCAAAGACTGCGGCTGTGGCAGAACATGAAGCACAGGCAGTGGCTGTTGCTGTTGCTGTTGCGAGCAGGAGGCGGCTGTTGCCATATCATGGCCTGTGGCTGTAACTGTTGTTGCTGCTGCTGCTGCACCAATCCCGAATCCCGTATTTCCATTTCCATTTCCATTTCCACTTCCATTCGAATGCGGCTGATTGTTATGATGGTGGTGGTGGTGGTGGCTGTTATGATGAGGATTGCTACTGTTGCTACTGTGGTGGCTACTGCTATTACTGCTATTACTACCCTTACTGCCACTGCCGCTGCCACTGCCACTGCTACCGCTACCCAATCGGCTCGAGCTCGAGTTTGAGTTGGAGGCGGAGGCGGAGGAGCTTGTTGCAGTGGAGCTTGCTGGCATGTGGCCGGAGCTGATGTTACTAGCGCTGTGGCCATGGCTGTGGTGGTTTTGGTGGCTGTGGCTGTGGCTATGGTGGTTGTTGTTGTTGTTCTGGGCATTACCATAATTGATCG